TCTTTCCCTCCTTTCTCGCGGCAAGCGCGCTTTCTTAGCCAACCAAGCGTTTCCCAGCGAGGCGCGTAATGGGACGCGTTAACGCGAGAAGGCGACCGTTCGTGGCCAAATTTTCGCGTTGAACAGGCGTGTTAATTAAAACACCGCAAGTCGATCCTTTTGCGCAAACGAGCACAATTTCTGACGCGAAACTACAGGGGAAGAAAGTTTCTTGACTCCGTTTTCAAGAAAATTGGAATACGAGAAGGTGGAAGCGGAAGACGAGGGCGTTAGAGGAAACATTTACACAGGGACGAGAGTTCTCTCTAATTTCGAAGCTAGCACAACGTGTGAAATATTTTTGCAAGAACACGACTATTTGCTAAGAACTGGCTCGAATTTATTATATTCCTTTCGGACTGCATTTTAATCAACGGATCAGGGAAGCCAAACGAATAATCCTTTTATCTCGCCCGGGGAATGGATGAAAATCCTGTCGCGGAGGGGAAGATTAGAGGGATAAATCTCGGTGAAGAGTCCTTTAAATATACCTTTATACCTTGCCATTTTTGCAATATTTTTTGCAAGAGGAACTTCCTTCTATATCGATCCTCTTATAATCAGCGATTCATCGTTTTCGTAATTCATGACCGGAAACGCTTTTCAGCTTCACGACTTATCGTTCAGGATCACTGTCGCGAGATATCAAATACACCGAAATATCCGAAAACTGGAATATTCTCGAATATTCGGTCGGTAGTATCCGTGATGACAAGTACGACCTAGAAAAGATATTAAAAGTATCTCCCCCGTTTGAAGATTATCAAAAACCGGAGTGAAGCGATAGCGAGAAGAGAAAGAGGAGAGTAACCGGTAATAAAATAACGGAAAAAGAACGGTTACGTTCGGTTACCGCAAACAAATTCGTATGATCGAATAAAGTCAATTTACTTGCCTATCGCGATTTTCCCGTCGTGCATTTTGTTTTTCGATTCGTCCGTTTCCTCGTTTCAACGGCGTTCCTGCGCCGCATAACCGGCAGCATGGCTAGCGCAACCGGCGAAACGTTTTTGATTTTGCCTACTTTGCAAACGTGTGCCAGGTCATGCGGAAGACAGAACGTAAACCGCGAGTACACCGAAACGCGTACGTACATATTCGGCAAGCTTTTTTCCCGTCTCGTAGCTGCCGGTCTGTCTGCGTGCAAACAGTTCGATGGCGAAAGAATCGAGCACGAAGTTTGTTTTTTCCACGACACGCCGTATTTACCATAACGCATCGCGCCATCGCAAATGGACTATCCCGGATATCCAGCGTCGTTTTGTCTAATGGCAATGCCCGAAGAGAATTACCCGACGTCGAAACGCAAACTTTTTAACGCGCGTATTGTATATCTGGTTTTAAATATTCATACGCGCGTTCGTTTATTGCTCGAAGCGGTGAAAAATATGGAGAATGCACTCGTTCGAATATTATTCGACCTCGTTCGTTCGGTGGAAAATTTCAATTTCGTTCGAGCGATAATTTCCTCCTTTTTCCCCTTTTTAATTCGAAATTAAAAGCTGGTTACGCGTCGCGAAATGCCGCGACGTTTCTGCAATTTCAAACGTACGCGAACGCACGGTAAACACGCGCGAATTCTTCCTTTTCCCTTTCTTCCGATTCTTCGTCATCGAAAGTGTTGCCGCCAGATACGCGAGCGGAGACTGGAAATGAAATGTGACAAATGTCGCGACAGTGACAGCCATCTTAGAAATGGCACAAGCAGATACATATATATATATCCAGAGGTAGGAGAGGAAGTGGGTTGGAGCATTTATGCAGCAGCCTGTCGAAGAATCGCGAGTTGCGAGAGAGATATACTGGCTGAGAACTGCGGCTGCAAGTAGCGTGAACGTGATGGCCGCAGAATGTTCCCGAGATGAAGTTATGGGCCGCTT